TGTTTTATTCCGCTGCGCCATCCAGCCACTTGGTCAGTTCCTAATAAAACTCATGCTTGTCATCAAAGGTGTATTCAGCTATATATAAAAAGAAAAGTGAAAACCCTCACCTGGTAACACCTGGTACCAGGTGTTTTTTCTAATGCATTTCAATTTGAAGCCTGGTACCACTAACAGAGGGCTTTTTAAACTTTTTATTTTTATGGATTTTTTCACGATGGTAAGGCTATAGTAAGGCATGTTTTGGGTGATTTTTCAAATATTCATATAAAATACTTTTTGGACTTTTAAACACAAAAGAATCACTTGGCAGCATGTTTTAGGACCTAGTCTTGCATTTTAAGGCATTTCGGGGACTTTTTATTTTTATGGATTTTTTCACGATGGTAAGGCTATAGTAAGGCATGTTTTGGGTGATTTTTCAAATATTCATATAAAATACTTTTTGGACTTTTAAACACAAAATATTCACTTGGCAGCATGTTTTAGGACATAGTCTTGCATTTTAAGGCAAAATGCTTTCAAATGCTGCATGGTGACCTCAAATATGTCAAACAATGACAAGATGTAAATAGCCTGAGAGTGGAGTTAAAAAGAACAAACATACTTTGATTTAAATAATAGCAATATTTTATTTATAGCTGCTTGTCAATAATCTGACATTAGCTGTTTACAGAGAGGGGACAAAGGGTAATATGTTGAAATGTATACATACTGTACAAAGGAAACACAATAAATTACTTTATAAAACAAGAAATTTAGTACATAAGTTATAATTTACTACCATAATACTTGATTTACTCTGGAGCTACAGGACTTGTCTTGACAAACAAATGGCTTGTCACGCGGCTAAGTTTGTCCAATGGCCTGGAAGCTGAAAAGACATTCAGCAGAACAGATTACAACTTTTCTAGCATGTTTTTGTGTGTGGTAACGACAGCAAGCATCAGTCTCTAGGGGGCGGCGGTGGAGGCAGGGGGCACATACTGAGCCCAAAAGTGCATTAAATCTTTGTCTTGTTGAGATACTCCACGTGAACTACACCACTGCCAGAGAAGGTAATACATTTGTGAAGTGGAGATCAGCAGGTTTGATTCTCTGTGTGGTGTCATTCACTGACTACACCCTCAGGCACAGGAAAATGAACAAGGCACCTCTATCATTACGAAGCATTAACACTGTGAAAAGCAGCAAACGTACACAGTACCATTCAGGTCTCGTGTTTTACGCCGTCTTACGGAAACGGTAAAACCGCCTTTTTTGTTTGAAACAATCTTTACGTTAACGTGAAAATGTGCTTCTTTTAGATGAACTATATGGTACATTCTCATACGTCATCGTGGCAACGAACAACATTAGAATTTTTTTTTCTGATTGTAATAAACAGAGATTATTTTGGAGTAAATATTAACAAAGTCAAATCTTAGGACGAGAGAAAAAAAAAAATTTTAAAGCTACACCCCTAATGATTTATTTTCACCACCTGAGTACATCTTGTAGGTTCCTGGGCTGTATCCTAATCCTGCTCTTGTGCGCTGTGCAGTGGAATGTCGTGTCAAGGTTAAAGATCAAAAAGGTCAGGGAGCAGGGAGGTCAGTGCAGGAGGTGAAGGCAGGGAGTTTTGGTAGAGCTTAATTTGGCAGCAGAGTGACGAAAAAGAGTGAGGCAGAAGAAAGAGGTGAGTTTTCCAGGGTGTTTGTCGAGTCGCTGCTGATTGAGTTGGTGCCTTCCTCCGTCTGTCTGCCAAGAAAACGTCTCAGAGGCGGCATCAGCTAACACTTAGCTGTGCAAAGCCGATCAGCTTCACCTCGTCCAGGGTCTCGGTGTCATCGCAGCTGGACGCCTGAGTGAGAGGAGAGACGGCGACAGAGGGTGAGTGGGAGTAACTACCTGCTGCTGAATCTCTACCACAACTAATTGATTAGTTCGCTGCACAACAGTACACGTGTTGTCATTTACACCTGTGTCTGTGAAGATAATAGATCTTTGCTTTTCTTCAGTGACTTTTTTCCATACTAATAAGTTCCAAATAGAACAGGTATAAAGTATACATACATCTACCTGCTGTTATTGAATGCTGGTAAGGATGTTCATTTATTTCAATTAATCAGGATTACTCATAATTAACCGATTCATCAACAGAGATAACATTTTTAATGAATAGATATCTAGTAAATAACAAACCCAGAGAAGGTAAAAACATATTTTTTAGGTCAGAAAATCTGCCTGTGGATTTGTATTTACAGACTGGATTATGTTTAGTACACAATTTTTTTGGGTTTTTTTTTTAAATTAGGGCGTTTTTCTTTTTTTTTGGTCCAGCGATTCTGTAGAAAATGGGCAACACAACCTGCAATCCTGTATCGATTCACACCTGCTAGGAGACAACCACTTCATCTCTGTGGGGATTTGAGAGCCTTAGAGCTGTCTGATCAACGTGGTGGGACTGTTATTAAAACGGGTCAGGGTTTTTTGGACGTCATAAAACTGATCCGATGCCACCCACACCATAAATCGTCTGCACAAAATGTCAGTATTTGTTCCACAACAGAGCATAATTATTCTCACTTCATGGGTGTTGTGTCAGTGCTCTCGCCACTCTACTCCTGGAGAGAAAGACTTGAGTCTTAGTATGGCTGTCAAACCTATTTGACCAAACCCAATGTATGACTTTTGTGAAAAAAATTAAAAATTTCAGAGACAGAGACCAAATATTTACCCTACAGTACATGTGACACGATATGGACTGAGATCCTGGTGTTGGGATCACCGTGGTGTATTCATAGTCTGTGTTATGTCACACACATCTTTAAAATAAAGGACATTTTCATCAGCAAACTGTTAACAGCCAGATACCGAGGTGAACGAGAACCGACAGAGACGATCAATCATCTGGAAACTTACCAGCTTGAAGGTCAGTACTTTGTACGTAGTGGGGTCGTCTACGATCTTCTGAAGGTTGGCAGCAACTGAAATAATCAAAACAACCAATGGAGCTTTGAAAAAAAAGCCTTTGACACCCTTTCTTAAATATTTCTGTTAAAATTAATTTCTGTTAAATTCAATAATTATGTGTAGACACTTGGAGGTTTTTATGAAGAATACATTTGTGTCACCGTACCAATAACAACGTCCAGGCCGTTGACCAGACCAGCTGAGAAAAGTTCCTGGGAAACTCCTTCAGCGGTGTCTGGCGAAGAAAATGAAAAGATAAGAATGCTGACACTAATTGGAAATAAAAAAAAAAACTGCAATGCTAAATTTGTTTATTTTATTTATGGGAGTTAAATAAATTCATAAATCAGAATATAATCTGTGGTTTTCCTCTGTAAAAAACTACAACATAAACAAAACAACAGGTGATTTCATGAAGTTACCTCGACCAGGGGTGAATTCAAAGCGGATGTCATTCAACTCCTTCCGTGAGTTCCTAAAACAGAAGACAAAAAACAGAAACACCGTGGTTGAGCACAGATTCTGACAGAACACTGACGCCTAAAGCCTGGTTGACGGTCCCCTCTACAGGACAGAATTTGACAAGATTTCATCTTAAATGGCACCAAAATAAAGAAAAGGGCAGCAGGACGACAAGAGATGACTGCCGTGGCGGAGGTGTCAGGTTTCAAATCATCTTTGACTAAAATATATGGGTGACATCTGAGGTATATGTTATAACGTTTTTCTGAGTTACAAAAAAAAAAACCCCAGCTTGGCATTTTTCTGATTTTATTTTTTACAGAAATGTCACCTCTGTGCTCTAGTCAGTGAAATCAATCTGTGTCTGTGCTGCATTGGCTCTAACGACATTGCACCAAATGATAAACATATTATGCAAGTCCTCACTTCTCTTTACCACCCTTAGTTTTTTTAATGAATGTATATATATATATATATATATATAACATTGAATCAATTCCAAGTCAAATGTTGACAGAACCCTCACCCTGCTGCTGTTTTCCCTCGTCACCTCTACTGAGACGATCTTATTAACATAAACTCAAACAAATAACCCCCCTCCTCCCTTCAATCGGTTTTGAAGAAGGAGGCAAATTACCTGCTTGTTTTGTTCCATCCAAAGCAATTACATCCATTGGATCACTGTTTGTAAATCTTTAAACCTTGACAAATTGTCAGCTTCATGATTGTGTATTTTGCCAACATATCTGTGGATTAGTGTAATGCTTCTCACCGAAGATTTAGTCTTTCCGGGGCAGCCAACAGAAAAACAACAATATACCACCTAAACCAGAGGTCGGACCTGCAGCTCTGGAGCCTGTGACATGTGGCTCTTTGATCCCTGTGCTTCGGCTCACTGTGGCGGTGGAAAGTAAAGAGTGTAATCCGTGTGTCTGTGTGTGTGTGTATGTATGTGTGTCTGTGTGTGTGTCTGTGTGTGTGTATGTGTGTGTGTCTGTATGTGGGTTCCCTCCTTTTTGTAATGTCTAGAAAAAATATAAAGAACATAAATGTCCGTATGCAGCTGTCCAGTGTTTTTTTTCTCTATGTGAAACAGTCCAGTTAAAATAGATTAAAAATACACTCATTTGCCTTAGAATACTTTGCTATCTTCATTTCTGTTGTTAAAATTAAGAAAAAATATACTTTTTTGGTACGAGAACTTTCGATCACAGTTAAATACTATACCATTAAGATCCTGA